TACTACTCTACACAACAACACACACGTATATATATATATATATATATATATATATATATGTATGTATATAGAACTGTTGAATTTTTATGCTCGCAATGTATGATGTATGTACTGCATATTACCATTTAGAAAAGCCAATGTTGGCGCTATCATGTACGCAATTATATTTTGTCAGCAACTATACATATATGTATGCTGCACTACTTTCCAATCATTTCTAATTAGACCACCTGCCCCTGTATGCCATATAACTGCCTATCCATGTATGCTATGACACATGACACGTTCTATCGTTATCTATCTTGACCTCATCTCTCTCTACGTACTTTAACACCTATTTATTCACCCCTGTGTGCCGTACTATTGACGGTGTCTGCTCCATCCGCACACCCACAGAACGAAGAGCTGTCGATCGCCTCACTGAACACCACACCGCCGCAGCCACCTCGGGGAAGCTACATGGCTAAATCATCCACACCATCACACACACAAGCACTCGCGCCCACACAGTCGTATACCAATGCACACACATATGCCCATACACACACACACACACATCCACAGCCACAACCCCTGCCACAGAACAACCCTGGGAGTACCGGCACAGGTGATAGTATCGACCTGATTCTGGTAACTACCGAGGGACGTAGGCTGTATTTAACTGCCACGCCGAAGTACACTCACACAAACACACACGCATACATACACACACATACACCTGCACGGCACACGCTCGCACGCACGCACCGAGACACAGACTCGCACGCAGACACACACGCACACGAACCACTCAATCGGCACCCCTACGCCCACACAAGCACAAATACAGCCACGCCTCGTGGATATGAGAACATGACTCAGAACTCGCTGAGCGACCTACAATCTGACCCTTTATCGACGAGTTTTGGCGCGAAAGTTCGGTACACCCGGCTGTCGCTTTTGAGATATTCGGTGTCTGCCCCACCATCCTCTGCGACACTGTGTGTTGCGATGGCTTACTGCAGTCCAGGTAGGATAAGTGTAATCTATACATGCATATATATA